TGATTCTCAATCCACTGTATACTATAGCTTTAGAGAGAACCCTGGGTGCCTTGGTACCTACTGGCCAGACTGTGAGGAACTCTAGAGCCATTGAGCAAACTGGGTTCAGTTGGAAATGGATTCTGAGATATAGAATAAAATTTAAGAAAGAAGATAGAGTAACAGAATTATATCAGTAATGCATCTATCATCAAGTTGGAGTCAGGAGACATAAATTTTGAAAAAAATCTTCTCTGCTTAGATTGTATTTGAAAGAGAAATAAACATTTTTGTGAGACTCCACTTAGCATAATTTTTTATTTCATTCATTCTTGGTAAAGTGGGAACAAGGAGCCCAAACTTTGAGAAGAAAAGAAAGTTTATTGTTAAATTGTTGAGAAATATAGCAATCCATATGAACAGAGAAAGTCTCAAGGAAGATGTTGTTAGAACTCACCCTAATTAGCCATGTAGGTAGTATTCACAACACAACACACTGAAGAAAAACAAAGATTCCAGGGTCTTGTGTTCAGAAAGCTTTGAATTTCACCCAACACATGAGCTAAATACTCATAAACTCTGTAATAATTTCCCTGCCCTTCTCCCCAATCTTCACTATGGGTTTATCTGTTCTGAATGATTCTCCAGTCAGGTTTATCCCAGCCCACCAGGTTTCTCTCCTACTTCTAGCCAGGATGTCATAAATTGTGGTCATTCTGGAATGAAGCTGTGTGCTCATTTTTGCTTCTTCTTGGTCCTTCAACTAATTGGTTTTCTGCCATCTTTCTGTATTTCTCTTTCCTACTTACTCCAGACAACTTAGGCTGTAAGTCAACTAGTGTGGAGAACGCAGTGCTTTCTGTCTCGTCTCTGGTCCTCTGGACAGCACCGCTCTGTGCCACCCCACATCTTCTTGACATGTGGCTCTGGCATCACCTTTTTTTTTTAACTCAAAGCAGAAATGACTCCCCATTTGCAAGCAAATTAAGATGTTACACAGTGTAATTCCAACCTTTTATAACCATGCCCCTGTACACATATTCTGTGATCTAACCCGACTATATTTTCCAAACACACGCTGTGCTTACTTACTAACATGCTTTTGCTTTTGATGTTCTCCCTACCTAGCACTATCTTAATCTCCAGCTATTGTACAAAACATCTCTTTGGTCTTATACTGCTCTCCAGAAATAATACATTTAAAGATCTTTTCACTAAGACTCTCAATGATGTTGTATGTCAGTAATATAGTAATATATGCTTATGGATTTACCTAGAAAAGTATAGAGCTATTTGAAGAACATTACATAGTTTTACTGAAAGTCCTAAGAAGGACTTAAACATATAAAGGCAAGCAGAAAACAAAAAACAAAAAAATACAGGTGCACATACAGGTGCATGCAGGGAAGCTCAACATCGTTAATAAATATAAAAATGCAAATTAAGACCATAGCAATAGCACCTCACATCTGTTCAGAGAGCCACTATTTATTAAGAAGCAGAAAATAAGTGTCAACAAAGATGTGAGGATTGAAATCCTTGAGTGTGATTGGCAAGAATGTGAAATAGTAAAAACGCAGAGGTTCCTCAAGATATTAGCAATAGAGCTACCACATGATGTAGCAGTCTCACTTTTGGGTTTTTTTTTTACTTTTGTGTTTTTATGCAAAACAAAGAGATGGCTTCACTTTCATATTTCTTGCAGCATTATTAAAAATTAGCCAAAATTTAGAAATACTCTAAATATCAACAAATGAATAGCTAAAGAAACTATAGACCATTATTCAGTTATAAAAAAAAAGAAAAAAATACTGTCCTATGCTGCAATGGGGATTAACTTTTAACATTATGCTAAGAAGAAAGTAATCCAATTACAGAAACACAAACATTACACAGTTCTCTTATAAAAGTAACCAAAGTACTCAAACTCGTGGACCTGTAGCTGGCAGGTACTAGGGGAAGATGGAGATAGAAATTGATGTTCAGCAGATCTCCGAGTTCAATCATGCAAGGCCTAGTTGCTGTGCACACTTGTTCTTAAAGTTAGCAGTATTCTACTCTATACATAAAAAGTGGTTAAGAGAATTAATCTTTGTTATATGGTTTTATATAGTTTATATATTTTAGATAATGTTATATATTTTGTTATATTTTCATTCTATCTTTTTAAAGTAATACATTCCATAGTGGAAAATATTAGTTAAAATTGCAATCTTAGAGATTGAAACAATGATTTGAAATATTATATGTGAGAACAATGCAATTTTTAATCAGGATTTAAAAACAGGAATATTAGAAAGATAATAATTGTTGATTAATTACTAGTTGAATAATTCAAGAAAATGGAAATAAAATCTCAGAAATGGACCAATTAAATGTGCTAAGTAGGGGATAAATGAATAATTTCAAGTAATTGCAAAGAAGAAAAATTTAAAGAATGTCCTCTACCTTATACCAAAGACCAAAGTAAATTTCTAAAGAATTGAAAAAAAACACAAACAAAAAGTCATAGAAGGAATGTAAGAAAATATATGCAGATAGTGTTTTCAATTTTGAATAGTGAAATTCTTTCAAAACAGAAACAACAAAAGCAAGAATGATAGCATCAAATGCAGAAAAGTTAAAAAAACCTTCATTTCCTAATTAAAATATTTTAAAACCTCAGCATCTCAAAAATGACTTAAAGAAAACCCACTTCTAAGTAATATACTGGGGAAAATATTTGCAATAGAAGAGACAAGTCTTTTAGAATTAGTAAGGATGAGATGACATGTCCTTTCTCATAAAAAATGACAAGAGACACAACAGGTAATTTAGAAGAGCAACAGATATAAATTTCCAATTAGATACAGAATCGGCAGTGTATGTTGGTCACATCTTTCTCACAACTGCCACGTATAGTTCACCAGGTTATTCTGTTTACAGCTGCTAGGTCAAGGGACTCATACCTAGCCTGCCCTCGATGTACCAAACTCCTATGAAGGGGGCTTTTTAAGAAATCCATAGGAAGACACTCTGTCCTTGTCAAGCTGTTTGCCTAGGGAGTTGTGCCTATCTGCAGGGGACCCATTTTCTAATTTATGTGCATGACCTGCTTTTGAGCTCATTGTATCAAAAACCACAGAAATACAGATCACTTTTCTAGGAATTTTCGTCCTCAAGAAATGAAGCACTTATAGCATTATTCTGCTTATAAAAATGGATAATAGCAAAATACTGGGAAAATATTTGGCTATCTAATGATAGGCACTAAGGTCAAATAAATGATGTCCTTCATACTGCAGAGTAACATACTACTATGAAAAATGTTTATGGGCAATTTTATGATACTAGAAAGTATTACTGACTGTTTTTAAATTAATATGTATATATAATCTCAAATATATGTAAACACAGAAAACTTTGAGAAGACATGTATTCCACTGTGTATTTCTAGATGTTAAGATTAGAAGAATGAATTCTTTTGACTGTATTTTTAGTAAGGGTCTACAGGGTCTCACTATGTAGATAAGACTCATAGTGGTCGGCCTGTTTACAGCCTCCCAAGAGCTGGGATTACAGGCACGCGCCACCACGCCCAGTCTCAGTCATCTTCTCAGCACCCCTTAGGGGCAGGGCTGGCATGGCACATCAGGGATCGAACCCTGGCCCCTGTGTCTGCCTAAGCAGGTGCTTTAATCCGCTGAGCTATTTGGCCGGCCCAAGGAGAATGAATTCTTAAATTTTTCTTTGAATAACTAAACATAATAAACATGTATCACTTTTTTAAAATGGAAGAAAAGAAATACACAAAAATAATCCAGTCCAATTTTACATGCTCCTCCTTCCATGAAGTTTTTGCTTCTACCCTGACCTCTGTAGGACATCACTGAAGCCCTCGCTGCTGAAGCGAGAACGACTTCCTTTGAATCTCTCATGCAGCACCTTCTGTTGCCCTGGCTGTACCTCACCAGGCAGTCAGCCAGCACCGTGGCTGTACCCCCTGAACTGCCATGTTCATCATTGTCTCCTTTTTAGTGTCTGCAATGCAGGTTCCGGTAAGCCCAGGCTGAGGTAGATACAATACAAATATCCACAAGAGGGTAGTGAATGTGTCTTATAAAGAATTAAATGGAAAGGTTGATAGCTAATTTGGGGGACGGGAAGACATACTGTGCTCCAGGAAATTTAGAAACAGTATCTGAGTTCTCCCATGCCTGCAGTCACACATGTGTGTGTGACTACCCAAGAAGTGAATCAAATTTTCTCATAAGATCAACATTGAACCTGATCATTGCACTTGATTCAGTTCTCATCTAACTGGTTTGGGATTGGAAGCATGGAAAGAATCAAGTGAGTGAACAGGTCCCCTCCTCCCCTTCGGACACCAGATAAATGTAGCAGAAGAATTATCCTGAAGAATCTTAAAAAACAACATTTCTAACCCTCAGTTGGCATAGCGTGGGGATTTTTTGCTTCTATTTACCAAGTCAAATACATTGTTTGGAATGTTGAGTCTTTGCTTATGATACATGACTGTCATTGAACCCAGTGGGATTTGTTTTATGGAGGAAAAACTTATAAGGATAGCTGCAAATATGGGCTAGACCCAGTCTAGGAAAAATAAAAAGTCTGCATTTGTGTAGTTCTTTCCTGGCTTTCACTGTGCAAAATGCATTTCACTCAGCAAAAGTGTGAAAGTATGAGATTTATAAAGCAAGCCTTTTCCCTAAGGAATGTCAGTGATGATTTCTGTGGTTAGTCTTGATGGGCAATTAGCTGAAGAAAGGTGCCCTCTGCTCCAGGTTTCCTGCATGTCTATGTCCAGGTCTGGTCTGTGGAAGTTAAGGAGATCCATTCAGTTACACCTTTGAACTCCCACTGAACAATTTTCACAAGAGCTTCTACCAGGCTGATTTTTTAAGCAGCATTCTCTCTCTCTCTCTCTCTCTCTCTCTCTCTCTCTCTCTCTCTCTCTCTCAAGAAAAATGGGAACCAAGGCTGGGTCTGATAAATAGTTCAGAGGTGAGAAGAGATACAGTCCAGTGCCTGAGCTCTTCCATTCCAGGTGCCCCTGGGTGGGGGTGTGCAGTGCTGCCTTAGATGTTCTGTCTTGACTCAGCTTAGTGTATTGCTCTCATTGATTTTTAAGTAGCAGAATAAGTATAGGAATATTTGAAAAACCCCAAAACATTGTGTCATTATAAAATGAGAAAAATAGCTTCTCCAAGCCTCCCAAATAAACCTAAATAGTTTAAAGGAAGGGGAAAAGTCCAGAGAATTCCTGAAACCATGAGAAAAATGTGACAAAACAAACTAAACTAGATATCTGCTGCTAAAGGTACAAACTTCACAAAACAGTGTTTCCTAGGTTGCCTGTAATGTTGCCCACTACCCAAAGCCAAAGCTTACTGATACCCCCTCCACTGTACAGCATACCTAGGACAAGACTTCATTCCTTTTCTTGGGGTGTTTACAGTCTGATGGGAAGACACATAAGCAATTTTGAAATGAGCAGAGTGAGTGCTGCAACAATGTCTGTATGGGGAGCACCTGTAGGAGGAAACAGGTCACTGCTGAGAGGTGGAGGAAATCCTGGAGCAGGCGCCATTTGTTTTGAGACTGAAGAGTAACAACAAATGAGGAGTTGTGAAGAGTCTCTAGGGAGGGATTGGGAAAGGGATATTTTTGTAGACAAAGGCCTTGCCTCAGACACTTCTCCTGCTGGGACAAAATACCCGACATTCAGAATTAAGGAAGGCAAGGTTTATTTAGCTCACAATTTGTGGAGGTGTCAGTCCATACTCAGCTGGCTCCAAGGCAGGCTGGCACATGGCAGAGGGTAGTGATTTTTGGTGGCAGAAAACAGCAAAACAGCAAAAGCAAAAGGGAGGAGTAGTGGCAACAATGGCAACAGGGACCAAACTCTGTCTCCCTTATGTTATATTCAGGCTGTCTGCCCCATCCTGGGTGAAGCACTCACACCCATAATCCCAGCAGCACTCACACCCAGAATCCCACCACTGGGTTGTGAATTAATCACAATGTCTAGAAACCCACCCCCATGACTGCATGAGGCTTTGGAGGGGCAACTAGACACAAACCATAACAGGCCTAGAGGCAAGAGACTGGCCTTTTCTGTTGTTTAATGAAGGTTTAGGAAAGGGAGTTGGAGATAGGGGGAAGGTAGACATAAGGCTGTGGATGTCGACAGAAGCCAAATCATAAAGTGCCTTGTAAAGCAATTTTAGAGCTTGGAATTAGTCCTAATGGCAGTAGGAAAGATGGAATGTGAAGGAAAGCTGGCAAAGTAGTGCGTGTGGAGAGAGCAATAAGCGAACACTGCCTAAGATATGCAAGGCGCAAAGCTGACATTAAACAACTCAGGGGGAAGGCAAGTGAGGCTGCAGAAGATATTTGAGACTCAGCTTATGTTCCATTGTGCTGGAAGATTTTTGTCCCTTAGCAATGTTTCTCAGATGAAGTCCTTTGTCAGGTTTAGCTGTGGAGCTTGTTCAGGTCATACCCAAACATGCCCTCAGTAAATATCTTCTAAGATAAGCCACACAACATTTGGAAAACTTTTGCAAGTACAGAGAGAATTTGGTCATGTACTCATTCACCCGCAAGCTTTAAGCTACAGAGAGAAGCAGGAAAAGGCACAGGGAATGTGATGGCGTCTTTGACCATAGCAGCACATTTTTCTGGTTCACATCCATGTGCATATGTGATAAATGAGTTATCTAAACCCTAACATGGAATGACTCAGGCAGGAACTTTGAATGTAAGTACGTTCATCTGTCCTATCTGTGCTCTTATTCATGGGAGGAGTCTTTAAGACCAGGACATCGCCAACAGTTTCCTCTCGATTCATAAGGGCAAGACGCAATGTAGTCTGTGTCACGCCCATGGGGCTGACCTCAGCTCCATAAGCCAAAAAGATGTTGAGAAAGACAGAAGTACTTCTAAGTGGCAAGTCCAAGTGTAGGAACAGCGGACAAGTGTTGTGATGATGCGTATTTGATCATGGAATGTAAAACTCCCTCACCCAACTGAAAATTTGGAATTTCAAATAAAGGGACAATTGGGAAGTAAGGTGTACTTTTGTTTACCATGTCTTTAGGAAGCTGGGACAGAAAAGAGTGTTTTCCCCCTGCCTGAACCCCAGGACTTCTTTCTGGCTTCCCAAGTCAAGTTTGAAGATCTCACTGAAGATTTGAGAAAGCTGAAGAAGCAACTAGAAGGTAATAGAAACCAATCTTTATTAGACAATAGCTAAGAGTACTTTTTAAAAATATGCTTTTAGAGGATTATCTGTATCTGGCTCACATAGTAGAATTGGTACAGACTTAATGAAACTGGGGCCCTCCTGGAACTTTCTTACTCTGAGCATTGTTGGCAGGTGCTGTGTTTAGGGGTCTTTCTCCTTTGCTAATGTTAGTTGATCATTTGTTTATTATGTCTATATCTTGTCACATTGACATTCAGTATTTACAACTTTATTATAATAGCAGAAACCCTTTATTAAAAGCATAATTTTTCCCTGTTATTCTTATAAGAACACTATCAGGAAGGAGTCACATTATCTCCATTTTATAGGTGAGAAAAAGGAGGTTTAGACAAGTTTTGTTCATGGAGTCAATAGCAGGTGGATGTACCTCCCGCTAACCAGGTGTGTGTCCAATTAGAACTTGGGCATTTTCTTAGCCTATTTACTTTGCTTCCTGACATCCATGTATGATAACAAGACATACAGTAAACATTCTATTTCAGTTTAATTTCATTTTTAATTATAGAAAACAAAATGCTGAAAGCCCCCTTTGGCTCTTTGGAAAGCTAAGTTTTGCTCAGGTGGGGCTTTTCCTTGGGCATTTCTGGAGTCTTGCACTTTCACCGTGGAGACCTCTCTTTGTCCAGGACTATAAATCCACTTGCCTGGGAGCTCATGTGCTCCAGCTCACGCGCTCTGCAGGGTCGAGGGAGCACGTTAATGTGGAAATGGAGGCCAGAGTGCCAGGATGACAGCCTGAGGAAATTGAAGAGTTTCGACCAGGAATATTTTTATACTAAGACATAAAATAAACATTTTTAAAATGTTTATTGTGAAAGAGTGCTCAGAAAATTAAGGCTCAGGCAAAGAACAGCTTGGAAATGGAAGCAAAATGGGAAAGGTCTGCTCCCCAATGGCAGGGAGAGCCATTTATTTTTTACTTTAGGCAGAAAATTTGCTTAAGCAAGATAGTAGTTACAAGTGAATGTTTCAACCTTGTAAATTATTTTTAAAGGAGCATGTGGGCTTTTTCTATTTTGTTGTTGTTGTTGAAAGAGCAAATCGGACCAAATCGGATATTCTGTTCAAGAATACCACATGGGGCCTTGCAGCCCTTTTTCCCTCATACAGAACTGACAACTTTATCCTTATCTAAGATGAGGTGCTTGATGGCTGTTGGAATAAAGCAAAGCAAAGCCATCAGTGCAAGGCTTTTTCTGTCCCTCTCTATTGGCAGAAATGGGCCCCGGCCTGGCCTCAGGGCTGCAGCACGTGTTAGTAAGGAAAGATGGGAGCTGTTCACACCTTGCCAAGACCGACCAAGCAGAGGGACCAACTGACCAACCGGAGCGCTCATCTCTGTGTCTCTTTGCTCTCATAAAACCCTGGGCCTGACCCCTTGTGTGGGTTTTTAAAAAGAAACCTGATCTCTGTTTGATCTTCCCCTTTCTCCTTCCAGGGGCCGTCTGCCTCCCTGTGACATTCTTGGGAATGTGATGATAAATAGCAGGGATAAGAACAGTGACTTAGGAAGAAAGTGGGAAGAGGGCTCCAAGGCCCTAGGGAGGCACCGAAGTGTCACCCAGACTTCTTCCTATTCCAGCTGACACTTTCCTCAGCCAGTCTTCAGGAAATACAGACTTTCTGAAGCAGGTGGAGCTCTTGAAGGAAGCAAAACTGAGCATTGCTTCAGTTGTTCCTCTTACAGCTGGGCTTCCCCAAAAGACACAAAGTATCACAAAACGAATGAAGAAATTCCTTCCCACCCCACACAAACTAAATATTTAAACAAAAACGCCCTGCTAATCTTTAGAGATGCCAGTATTTTTAACACATGAAAGGTACCCAGTAAATATTTAAAGGAAATATAGAGCCTGGATTCTCTAATGAATTTCTTTTTCTTCTAAATACCATCTGGCAAAATGGCCAGAATTGTGGCTCCGTTTCATCTCACGTCCCAATCAAGTTTCACGTCCCTTTCCATAAGGCCTTGGTGTGAACCAAGATTGAATGTTTAATTGAAGAGGACATAATATTCACACATACAGCAAAGATTTGATGAGGCTTTGAGGTTTATTGTAGCCATTAAAATGTCGTAGCTGCTGGCAAAATCCCAGAAAATGTCTAAAGCTAAACCAGATGTGATTAGCAAATTTCAAGAAGTATCAGGCTCCAGTTTTTTAAGCAACGTGACCCTTGAAAAGAAAGTTTTTTGAGTAGTGTTAACCACACTATAACAATAGATTATGTACTAACCTGTGGTTGGTGGTCATACAAATGGCACTGGTACAAGTAGGGGTTGTCAAGCATCTTTCAGAGAGACAAGAACTTCGATTAGCCTTTTTGTGAAATACATGTTCAGGGAATTATAGTATCATTGACAACTTATAGTGTAATTATTATTTATCAGGTGCTTTTTACAGAGATCATCTCTTTGAATCCTTATGGTGATTCTATGAAAACATGATTATTTCTGGCCTCTCACAAGGTAAAGAGGCTGAGTGAAGTTCATGATGCTCACGTACCTGGCTGGTGTTTTAGGGGTGGTCATCTAACAGTGTTTTGAAGCTAGCTGTGACTCCAAAGCATGCATGTATTCAACATCAACATAGCCAACCTTAGGCCTAGATGTGTGCATGTCACTGAGATCCAAACACAAAGATGTATTCAAAGTACAAACCTTTGTGAAGAGACAAATGACAGAAAAAGGGTTGCTAAACCTGTGTTGGCACCCACGTGTGCATGCACACTCCCAGGGCTGTATGTATACACTCACAGATCAGATAGACAGAGGAGCTAACTTCCTTTGGGCTGAGGAGAGGAAGGGAGAAGGGCAGTCTAGGTGGGGGCTTAACTGAATACACGGCATTCATGGGATTAAGAATTCAGACTTTGTAATCGTATGAGTAGCTTTTACTGGCTTGGCAGAAACAAGAGCTTGTTAAGCAACCAATACCTATTGAACACACTCATTTTCTGGAGCTCAGGATGTAGCTCAGTGGGGGAACACGAAAGGCCCTGGGTTCAGTCTTCAGCACTGTGACCAGCAAACATTTGCTCATTTGTCATTTGCTCCCTTGTCAATGGAACAATGCAGTACCTGCATCACAGGACAGAGTGCCCACTGGTTCCTTAGAGTGAGGAAATCTCCAGTAAAGCCAATGAGGAGATGCACCTTTGATTGGAAAGCTGATTCTACCAAGGTAGAATCATTTCCTGTTGCTGAGGGGCCAGCTTGTTCTATGTGTGCAATACCTGACTGCAGAAGCCCTTATGTTTCTTTGTCTGTACTGTGAAGACAGAACCAAACATCTTTCCTTGTCATTTGTTGTTTTTGTTTTTGAGGTACTATATACTAAGTCCAGGGCCTTCATATTGGGTGCATCCACAGTTCAGTCAAATCTTTTTCTTTTTCTTTTTTATTTTTTAATGTATTTGGTGTTTGCAAAGTCTTACTATGCAGCTTGGACTCCTGGTGATCCTCCTGCTTTCAGCCTCCCCCATGCTGGGCTCACAGGCGCACACTACTATGCCCAGACTCTGGCCAGCTCAGCCTGCCCTGGGGGCAGGGCTGGCGTGGCATGTGGTGCCAGGGATCAAACCGCCATCCCTGCACTTGCCTAAGCTTGCCTGAGCAGGTGCCTTAGTCTGGCGAGCCATCTCGCTGGCCTAGCCAAATCCTTATTTTGAAATAGTCTTACAAAATTCCCCAGGCTAGGTTTGAACTCTAAAGCTTTCTTACTCACCCTCCAAAAGGCTGGTATTACAGTTACATTCCATCTCTCGGCAGAACCATGTTCTTCATGCTGGGGAACATGTTCCTTATTTTTAACTCTATAGCTCTTAATCAAACAATGATTTTATTACCCTGATACTACTGTGATATTATGAGAAACAGTTGAGATATCACAGATAATAATTTTTTTTTAGGCTGGCGAGCTAGCTCAGTGGACTGAGTGCCTGTTTAGGCAAGCGCAGGGATGATCCCCAGTACCACATTCCACGCCAGCCCCAGCCCTGGGCATGCTGAGCTCACTACCAAGTCTGGGAGTGGTGGTGCATTCCTGTAATCCCAGCACTAGGGAGGCTGAGAAAAGGAGGATCATATGAGTCCAGACTGTGTAGTGAGACCTTGTATCAAATGCATTAATTTTTTTTTAATAATAATCTTTTGTTTCTTACTCCTCAAACTTATTTCCTAGGAAAAACTCTAAAAGTATCCTTACCAACTCATATGTGGTAAGCAGAATAGTGGCCTCTAAAGATATCCAAACCCTAATCTGTAGAATCTGTGATTATGTTACCTTACATGGAAATAACAGACTTTGACCATGTTGAGATAGGAAGATTATTCTGGACTGGCCAAGTGTATCTAATCTAATCACATGGATCTTTAAAATGTATCTTAAAAAGCTGAAGGTTTGCCTTGGCTGGGATCAGAGAGAGATATAACTACAGAAGAATGATCAGAGGGATATAGCATTGCTGACTTTGAAGATAGAGGAAGTGGGCATTGCGCCAAGGAATGTAGGAAGCGTGTAGCATTGGAAAAGCAAGGAGCAGATTCTGCCCGGAGACCACAAAAGGGAATACAGCCTGTCAGCACCTTGGATCCATCCCAGTGAGATGTATCAGACTTTCAACCTATAGAATGACGAGATGTGTTTGTGTTGTTTTAAACCACTTAAATTTGTGCTAATTTGTTAAAATGGCAATAGAAGACTATTACATCAGGTAATGGATCTCTCTTTCCAATTATCCCAGTTAATACCAGCCTCCTAACCCCTGCCCACCACACGCAGCATTGCTAAGACCAGAGATGGAGGGTTTCCCCGGAGTGTCGCTCACCAATATTGCACGAAATACGAATTGATGCTTACTAGAAAGGAGTTTGTGGGCAAATAAATTTAGAAATGTTGTATATTAAAATATGGGGGGGCTGGGGAAATGGCTCATGGGGCTGGGGAAATGG